TTGTGTATGTTATATTTTGAGACTGATCATAAAAACAAAATGGATTAAAAGAAGAACTAAACAGATCTTTCTCATATTGCAATGATCGATTCTATTTCTTTCACATTAAGTACTGTACTAGTAAATATGTGAAATGACAAACTCACTTTGAAGGTTGGCTTTCATACACATCAGTATTAAGTTTAGATCAAAAGTTACCTCAAGGTGCATTTACTGTTAACATGACTCGATCAAACAGATTAGAGGAAAGAAGAGAAAAGATCGAACTGACAAAGAACTAATGAAGATGGTGCAAAGGTGGGCGCCAAGATCCCTCTGGGATCTCTTGTTAAGTCACTCTTGGCGAAAGCCGAGCGGCTTATTTATTCTGTCCAGAGAACGAAATGACGGACCCACTTCCGTTCGGGGTGCGTGCGCATAATTCAGTCTTGCATGCATCCGCTATATAGTTTCATTATCGTAAATAGAAAGTAGAATCTCTGACACTCGCCTGGGGTTACATAAAGTCTTCTGATACTCTTCTCCAAATAATAATCCATACTTTGAATAATTGCTGAAAATAAAATGTTTATCTCAGGTGCATTCTACGAGTGTTGTGGTTGTGAAATTCGTGCACTAGGTTTGATTCAGATTGATGTCCGAGGAGTGTTACGCGTGTGAAACACATATGATTCGAGAAAGCACATGTGAAGACTGTCAAGCATTGACGCTGTCTGTAGAAGGAAGAAGCAAATACATACACTTATAAACCGTATAAGTGATGAAGTATAACCTCTATTTTAATGTTTCAAACGGGAACGTAATATGACATATCGTGCTTTGGTTGATAACGGTAATGGCTCCGAGACGAGACGATATGTGAACTGTGTATGCCTATCAAACATTTCTTTAACACAGCATGCTATTTCTGGTGTATTTATTTATGAAAGTGTTACAATTTAAGAACATTTATGATGACACAACTGCCGCTGCTGTTTGACAAGAATTTGCGCGGTGTCAAAATATTATCCAATCTGGTGTAAGGGAAATAACTCTTACGTTAGTAAAGTCGCATTGAGAAATATATATTCCAAAAACATTTATGAGATTTTGTATATTAAATGACACTAAATAAAGTCACTACATATATTAATAATTATTATTAATATGAATAAAAAATAAATAAAAATAAAAGGAGAACAATGTCTCTTTTCTCCATGCATGCTTTCCCACTACTGTTAATTATCCTTCATTTAAAATTTAAATAAATAAAATTATACAACATTTGATATAGCGCCCTATCTAGCTTACATAAGCCACTCTAAAGCGCTTTACAGTACATAGACATACAATTTTATACAGTCAATACAATTAGCATATATATATTAATCAATTCAATATTGAGGAATTCGCAGGAGCTGCCTTATCAGCGCTACTAGTCCTATGCCACCTGGCTAATATCTCCCTGTGTGTGTGCTGGAGATGTATTGTGTTCTGTTAACAAGCACAAAATTTACCTATTCTTTATTATCCATTCACTGATTGCCATTCTGCACGTAAATGCTCATGTCACATCATTGGAGGATGCTAATTAATGAAAATTACAATGCGTCACACTTAAAGAGGGTGAAAAAAGAGGAGAGGGAGAAATGTTTTTAAGGCATCATTTAAGAGGTGATTGATTTTGGAAATCCCAAAGGCAACATCATCACATGTCACACCTGATTTTCAATTAGCAGAATACAAAACACATATCTGAGGTATTATAGTAGATATTGATGCTCAACGTGTTACTGAAGCAATTAAATTTAAAGTGGTGAGCGGCTTTAATGTCACACTGACATAATTCTAGTTTTTTTATATTATCTAATAATTAAGTTGATTCAAGATGAACAAGGTCAGCTTACACCTTTAATACTGAATGCCTGGAAACTTTTGCCCAGTCAACCCTTTACTAGTAGAATCCAAAAGTTTAACCTGTTGTAAAAACAGTCCCAGTATACAATAACATACTAGTAAATCTGTCCAACTGTGAAGAAATAGCATTACTGATATACACTTTAGAATTGTTCTGTTGATGTTCATGCCTAACTTTACATCTGTGTAGGCTATCGTGGTGTTCGTTGAGGGTCTGGAGGATAAGACGTCGGAGATCCGGGCCGGTTCCTGTATAGCTCTCTCCATGTTAGAGGTACTGTACAATGATACTTGTGATGATTTATCATTTTGTTAATTGTGTTGTTTCTTATACAATAAATATTTCATTGAAATGTACTTCAAAGTCAGTTTATTTACAATTGGTCAGTTTATTGATTTTTATCTCAGCATAACATCTAGTAAAGATTAAGGTTGTGACGCAGATTTTTTGTATACAGCTTTACAAAGTAATCAGATGGTCACCAATACTAAGAAGTATAGAACCACATTATACAAATTTGTTATAAATCGATACAGATTCTAACAAAACCTTTTTACCTTGTTATTACAGGCCACAGAGGGAATAGACCAGTTAGCTTACATCTGTCACACAGACACTTCACAGTCAGTAAGACTTAAGGCCAAGGAAGCACTTGTGTCCCTTGGTGAGTTGTCTCCCTTACTGATAAGAACCAATAACAGCTTCAATGTCCTCATTTATTAAATGAATGCCGAGTCTATATCAATATTTAACATATTTTCAAGTAAGATCAGATTGCTGTGATGATTACTTCATTTGTTACCAGGTTAAAAAATTATTATTTTTTTATCAGAGTTCAATATTTTTGACATTTGTTTACCTGTTCAGGTGAGGAAGGACGAAGGGCCTACGAGGAAGGTCAGCTGACCACTCATGGTTTCCAAGGTGTACATGTCCGGAAGTGAGCAGATCCAGGTGGCGTTGTGATCACTTTCCAGTGTCATGGTGATCACTAAGCTTTGTCTTAGTGATCATGAAGTCATCAAGGTCACTTTGTGCAAGGTCATGCTGACCACTGGTATGATCTGCGTGTACTTTATTGATGTCACGTTTAAAAGTCACTTATGAACCAAGACTTTTACAATTTACTCATTGTGCTGTGATGTAGGACGACTGATCTTGGAATGCCTTGTACTGGTGTAGGCGGCCTGTCTAGTGCTGTAATCTAGAAGTACCACTGCTCTAGATGGTATGCCTATAGTGCTGTGATTTAGGGGGACACTGATCTACCAGGTATAAGGCAATTAATGTTTTTATCTAGAACAACTGTCCTTTGATTGCCTAGTGCTGATGTTGATGGTATACCTAGTGCTGTAGTCTAAGATCTCCATGGTACCTGTAGTGTTGTCATTTAGGACAAGTGCTCTAGTTGTAGTGCTGTGATCTACTAAGACAACTGCTGTGGCTTTGATCTAGCAGGACTGATCAAGCTGGAATGCCCGGAGGAGAATATTCATACAAGGTACAAAGGATTACATTGACAGCATGGAATGTAAACATGAAGCACCATAGATGGAGTATATTGACCTTAAAAACAAAAAGAGGGGGGGGGGGGGGGGGGGG